CACTGTCGAATGCCCTCGATATATTTAATGCTACAGCTAGAGATTCACCATGTTTTTCTAATGAAGTTTGCCATACATGGGTGACGTAGGCAAGTATGTGACATACGCGTTAAGTTGATCTTCGCTGGCGAAAGCCATATTGTCTATTATTAATAACTCCTGAGCTTCCCAGATATTTGATCAGTTCAATGTTAATGGCTTTATCAATCAATTTGAAGATGACTGATAACAGGGCAATTGGCCTATAGTTGTTGGGCAGAGTTTTGTATCCTTTTTTGGGGATTCGTTGGACTCTAGCTATTTCCCAGCAAGATGGAAAAATACCCGACTTGTGGGAGATGGTAAATAGCTTGCAGAGAATGGGTGTCAATTTTGGTGTACATTTTTTGGGAATAATGGGTAGAATTTCATCAGGACCGTAAGCATTATTTGTTTTGAGACCTAGCAGAATGCGTCTGATAGTGCGTTGACGAAAGACGATTTCGGGCATTCGACTCTCAACGGGTTGAATGTCCGGCGGCACTCTTCCCTGAGAATCTAAGGTGGAGTTTGCTGCGAACATCTTTGCAAAAATGTTAAATGTTCGCTTTCTCTTGCAATGTTGTTGCTAATGTGTCGTCGGCTTTCGAGAGTGGTGGGAGTGAACTATGTGAAATTCCTTTCAACTGCTTTGGGAGGAACCCAAACGAACAGGAGCCATTGGGACAATCTTTGAACTTTGATCCGGTTTTGGCATTGTATGACTCTTCAGATGCATCTATTATTTTTGGCTGTAGTTATTCCTCGTTTCGTCAGAATCTGCTCTAGTCACGAGTTTAGGGTCCTTGCGCCAGCGATGGTAGGCTGTTTGTTTCAAGGCGACAACTCTATATAGAACAGTTCTTGTTGAACCAGGGTTTTCGATGGTCATTTCGAGGAATGAGGTGTGTTTGTGTCCATTCCAAGCGTGATGATCTCGGATATTTTCGCAGCACACTCCACACTGTGAACAATCCGCAAAATCGAAGCATATTCTATGCCGAGGGAACCTGGAGAAAAGCATGCGAAGACCCTCCCAGTCTTCTGAGTTTCACAAGACCGGGGTGTGTTGGAGTAGTTGATGGAATGAAGAATGGGTAGGTTCTGGAGATGAGTGTATGACCAGAAATAGTACAATTGTACTAGCAGAAACACCGCTGTTGAAATTCCAAATTTGATAAGAGAACGCTTCAGTAAATGCTTTCTCAGGGCATGGGAACCTTCATGTTACATGAAAACCAGTTTAATATGATATAGCTGAAGCATAAAGATGCGGAATGTCTCATTAGATAGGATATGTTTCTTGGCTAGCATCCCAGAGAGGCCCTACTCATGATAATATGAACTATATAAGCATACTCCTACAAAGCAATTATTCCATTCTAGGTTAGGAGATGAAAAAACGAGAGATCAGATCACTTCACGAAATTCATCGAGAAAATACTTGGTGACAAAATATTCCAGAAGAACGGACTTTGTTCCTTCATTCAAATTTTCATCATAGTCGTTTAAGGAAATTGCAGAAGTCACAAACCAATAAAAGTCTCCTGAGTCAGCTTCAACAATATGTTTATCATCAAGACTTGTTCTTCTCACTTCTCACACCTTGTTTTCAATCATCCAAGATGTGTAGCCTCTGAACAGTCAAGGCTTCACTAAGATGTAAAATGTCATTGCATTATCTTCAAGTGGGTTCATCTTTATGAGAAGACATATTCGGTGCAAGAACGTCCTCAGAAAAAAGTGGGTTCAACTTCAGTGAATCAGCAGACTGTCTAAACATCTTGCTTTATGGATGTACAGTCAGATGCCAATGAAACGTCGCACATGGGCGGTGATAGCACTTCTAGTCACTTCAGAAATAAGAGCGCTACCTTCATCCAAACGCGACATGTTCTTTGCATTTGACTGTACATGTGATCATAACACACCCATATGCCTTAGCTGATGTTGATTAGTCCATTCAGTCAAAACATCACGTGTATCAATGGCCTTTACTGAACCAGATCAATCAGTTAGATCGTTGGATTTTTCATTTAATTCTTCTCAATTCTCAAATGTGCTGATGATTGAATAATGTATAAAAAAAATGGTCCTACAGGTTTCAAGAAAAGAGTCCAATAAGTGACACCAATCACGTTCAGAATATTCTTCTGATGAAAAGTGTATACCCTAGCTGTATTTCACAATCGTTCTATGGTTGCAGCATCAAATATAATAAAAGTAACATAAAGACACTCCCAGATTTTTTAAATGTACTCGATATGCAGATATACAGGAGCTCAAACTGTGACGGTCTTGACTGCTAGAATAGTTCAGAAACACAAAAATAACATGTTTCCAAACTAATAAAACAGCAAGGTATTGTAACATTTTGAATTCAGATATTCATAGCTTACAGATACGCAGATAATTATACAGGCTGATTCACGGTGGATGGCACATTAGACGTTTCTGGTGAACCAGACAACGGATCATTTTGAAAATCCAATGGAGGGCATATTCGGACATTATCTAGCCAACTAAAATATTTTCGACAATGCGGTGTTGCCGCTTCTATTAGAAAGCAGTGGCAACTTTGATTTTTCAAATGGAACACTCTGTATTTTATTGCATTTCTAGATTCTCCCTGAAGAGCTGATTTCATCGATGTATCACACTTGGGGTCTAGCGGAAATGATTACAGAGATATAGGGTGTGAAAAATCGACATTTTTCAACTTTAGAATTTTTTTGTGTCGAAACTATCCATCATTGGTCAAAACGGCTTACATGTCCCTATCTCAACTTTTGATTGACTATCTACTGATATTTAATTGGGACATATACCGGGTGATCAAGATTCTGAATTCTGCACCACCCTGTATTTGTTTCAATTAAATTTTAGTAGATAGTTGATCAAAAGTTGAGATAGGGACATGTGAGCCGTTTTGACCAATAATGAATAGTTTCGACAAAAAAAATTCCTAAAGTTGAAAAATGTCGATTTTTCACACCCTATATCTCTGTAATCATTTCCGCTAGATCCCAAGTATGATACATCGATGAAATCTGCTCTTCAGGGAGAATCTAATAATGCAATAAAATACAGAGTGTTCCATTTGAAAAATCAAAGTTGCTACTGCTTTCTAATAGAAGCGGCAACACCGCATTGTCGAAAATATTTTAGTTGGCTAGAGAATGTCCGAATATGCCCTCCATTAAATTTTCAAAATGATCCGTTGTCTGGTTCACCAGAAACGTCTAATGTGCCATCCACCGTGAATCAGCCTGTATATGTTGTTGCATTTCTAGCTGGTATATTCACAACGTTAATTAACATCTGAGCAGTAATACAAAAATTATCAAGATTAGGTATTTCTCAACGAATCCTAACTCTCAAATTAATAAATGTCTATTCACAATTTCTTATTTTTGAGTGCTGCATTCCTACAAGCAGTTGCATGTCAACAAGAGAAATCAATAATTGAATGAGATATGAAAAAAACAAAAACAGCAGATTGGAAGAGAGAAGCATTCTTTGTTGACTATACTTACTATAGCTAAAACAGTTAATTATGAAGAAATAATCTAGTGAGAGATGGATAGCTGATGTCAAATCAGAAGATAATGATGAGGATTCGAGTGGAACTTTTATTTAAAGATGCTGAGAGTTCTTGATCTTCCATATTTTGATAGAAAGCAAGAAACAATTATTGTAATGCGAAATGACCGTTCATGATAGTTTTTTCTCGAAAGTCAATTGATTGTTGAGGATTTTGGGGAGTGTTGCTGATGTATCTCAAAGATTGTTTCCATTCTTGAGGAAATAACTCCATGAAGAGAGCAGAATTATGACTCAATTTATATCGAAACTGGTTTCGAATCCTTGTTCGACCAGCTGGTCTTTGGATGTGTGCCAAACTTTGATATTTATTGCTTCGGCTCTTCTTTGCTATCGTTTGACAGTCATTTCAGGATGATGGTTTCTCGAAACAGTTCACTATTTGATTGCTATCTGACCAATAGCAGAGCTGGTTCTCCGAACCAATCTAATTATTCCTATGCTTTATGGATGTTTAATATGAGAAAATATTACGTAAAACTGCATCAGATTTATTTAATCTTGAAGACCGTGGATGACGAATCCCCGAGTCTACTGAGTGTTGAACTGTTGATCAATTAGGTACACGTTAGAAGAATTTATATTCTCTGGTATTTCTTCAGAGTACCATCAATTTATCATCATAAACTATTTCCGAGATCTGTCTGACAATAATCTAAAGTAGTCATTCCACATTTCAATTATAGCCACCTTGCGTTGGTTATGTATTGTTTTCAAGAGACATCTTCAAAATTGTCGCTAAACAAATTATATGTTGTGTAGAAAATAGCCTGTAAAATGAAAGTGGCATCGTTTCATTCCATTCAGAATATGAATTCCGCTTCTTTGGTTATATCGAAAACCCCCTGATGAAACTAAATCACTCACATTTTCTGGTGTTCTCACTGATTTTGATGTGGTTCCAACATTTTCCCTGAAAAAAATCATATAATCAGATTGATATGTGCGCGGTATTATTTTTTAGCAAAGTAGAGAGTTTCATGCTTGTAAAAACCTATTTTCAATGTATAAAAACCCCTTTAACTTTTTCTGACTATTCAATACTTAATGTCTTGTCGAAATCTTTTTTTTTTACAAAATCTCTATAGCTTATAACATTTGAATACATTAATATACAATACGATGAAATTCAACAATCTTCATTGCTATTGATGAAGTATATTGAATCATATTTCGTATTCCAACTATTGTATGTGTAACTGTACCTTGTCAACTCGATCTTGTTTGAACTAATGAATGATGAATTAATCTTATCATTATGAATCTGAATTTGTAGGTCAAAGAGAAGATGATTTGAACCGAATTATCTACATAACCAATTCACTCTTGAAGAAGCCAAAGTTGACAAATAAGCCAAAGTTCTTTCCTAGAAGATATACTCACAGTCGATTCCCCTGCATTAATGTTCGGTGAGGAATGTTCTCATGTATGATCACTTGGGCCGCATCAACCATAACAGCTTTTTCTTCAATGTTATCACCCTCGTATCCATAGGTTTTATTCAAGAAAGGACTCCACATTTGATTCGATCCCCCCAGTACATCATCGATGTTAGTGTGCCTTGATATAAACAAATGAGAAGGTCTTTTCGCCTGAATTCTGGTCTCCGGAATATTGTCGTATGGACTTAGACGACCTTCAGTTTGCTTGGGCATTTCCAATCCTTCAGGACTTGCTCTGTCTCCCAGGGGTATTTGATTCTGGTCATACTCATTTTCGTCATTATCAACAACTGGTTTTTCTTGCTGCAACCACCAAGGCTCCTCACCAGAATCTTGATGACGAATGGCGTACTTTGGTTTGACTTCCTTGACACTCTTAGCTTGTACCATTTCGGAGATATTTTCTGAACTATTCAACCACCAGTCTCTCTCACCGGAATCGATATGCCTTATCTGATGTTTTTCTAAATATTCAGAGTCCATTATATTTTTGCTGGAATCATCATTAGTTCTCTCACTGCTACTCAACCACCAAGAAGTATCACCAGAATCATTTTTCCTCATTTTATAGATGACTCGACCATCCTCAGTTGTCCCATCTTGACGAACCCAATTAGGGTACGTATCAACACCTTCTGGTATCTCAGCACCTTCATCTAACCACCAAGGGATTTCTCCAGATGGTATATGCCTGATTCTAGGTGTTTGAGATGATTTTTTCTCTGACTGAGTTTTATTATCGGATCCCTGAGAATTATCACTCACTTTCCCAGGTTCTATCCTACGTACGACAATTTTAGCAGCAATAGGTTCAGAACTTTGTGAATGTTTATATATTCCTGAATTTCCATGTGGAGAATCTTCTTGTTCACCAGATTCTGTTCCATGAATAACAATTTGAGTTGGAATGAGTTCTGCATCATTCGAATGGAAAGGAGATGATGTACTCTTATCTGTTTCGTCAGGAGAAGGATCCATCCAGTTTACCTTTTCCATGGAGTCCACATGTTTGACTTTGAAGAAATTAGTAACTGGAGCTAGAGCTCTCATTATAAAAGACTTTGCTTCTGCTTCAGACTTGACACCGTCTCCTTTCAATCTCGGACTCTGTGGTGGTTTAGGAGATTTATCGGCTGATAGTTCATCGGCTGATGATAGTATCACCGATGTCCTAGATGATCCAGCACTATGGCACTTCTTCTTGCTCTTTTTGATTTTCGAATCATCCTCACTACCACTCGTTGTGGTACTTGCTTCTGAACCTGGCGATCTTCTGTTACTAATAGATTTTGCGGAAGGTAATTTTTGAGGTAGCTTTGAGGTACATGAGCTATGGTATGACTTGCAACTTGTTAGGTTCTCTGAAACATCCGTAGCATCAGGATCAGCAGTATCGGATTCTGCGGAGCTGACAGAATTGCTACGTCTGCCAAAATTTTTGTTGGACTTTCCTTCGGGATTCATGTTCAGTACGGATTTCCTGAAGTCTTTATTGGTAGAAGTGAAGGAATGTAACGACGTGGATTTACTAGGACTTTCGCTTTTCGGAATTTGAGGGGGTAACTGCTGCTTTTCAATTTGTTTTGGAGGAATGATTTTCGATTTGACCGGCGATGGAGATTTCTTCTCATCCCTTTGTTTGTCAGTATTGTTAGACGAGGATTGTACTAAGCTTTTGGTCGAACTAGCTCGCGATAAACTTTTCGGCGAATCATCATTCTTCGAACTAAATGTACTAGCTTGTTTGACTTCACTACTTCTTTTTGACTTTGGACTAGAGAATTTCATATCGAGAAATGAAGACCAAGGTGCGGAAGAAGTCCTCGAAGCAGTAGAGTACCGTGATACTTTAGTGGGATCATCCAATCTGTCGGACTGAATTGCCTTATCAACCATTGTGTGAATTGGTCGTTTTGGGCGACTGATCTGTTTCTCAATCACCTTCGCAATTTCTGCTCTCCTGCTTCTCAAGAGACTAGGCTGTGATGTTTGTGTAGGGGAAGTTCCTCTACTGATGACAGTTATCGTCTGCGTTTCAATTTCATTCTTGAGCCGTTCAGATAATGCATGTGCACTGACTGATTGTCTAGGCATGACATCTTCTGGAGTAACAGAGGAACATCTACTAGTTGGTCTACTCAGTCTCTCATGTTCCTGTGCTTGCAATGTATTCAACAGTTCTCTGTTTCTCTTGCTAGTCTCATGCGTTCTCACAATCGATGGTCTTGTGTAGGCTGTATTACTTTTCTCTATAGTATTCTTTGGTAAAAACCTGCTGTTTATATATCTCTGAGAACCTGTTGAGAGATCTTCTCTAGAAGTTGTTCGGCTACCTATCTTATATCTAGAGGGCGGGTCATCTTTTGATTGGGAGGGGCGTCTTGAATATTTAGAACTATCATCTCTTGACCTGTCGCTGTATCTTGGAACATCCTCTTTGGATATGGATGACCTACCAGTATATCGAGGGATTTCATCTCTAGATGCAGAAGTTCTTCCTGAGTATTTGGGGATGGTTGTTGATGAGCTCACAGACTCTGTTCTCTCTCTACTGACTGATCTTTGGTACGGTCTGGGGTACAGCTTATTTGGGTCGTAGTTGGTGGAAGAAGAGCTTCTTTCAGAATTATCTATTGGGCTGGGGTCACGTGAACGGGCACCAGTTCTGGTTAGAGGTTTGTAAGTAACTGGGGGATGACTAGTATCTTTCTTGTTCAGGATTGGCTTCACACGAGATGTTTCAGATCGTCCTGAATATCCTGAAATGAAAAATTATATATTATCATCGGTAACTTGGATGGAATTTTTTTGTAATTGTGTCATCAATAGGTTAATTGATGAAGATATTATATATATCAAGAAATTTACCCAATTCTTCTCAATTATATTATTATACTGGATGGTCTTATATAGACTTCCCAACTGATAGTGGGATTAGAAATTGTGAATTTTCATTGTAGCGATTCGAGAAGGAATTTCATTATTCATTGACGAGTTTTAAGTATTCCGACCAATCTCTTCTGCGGATCAAATTTTTAGGAATCTAATATACCTACATCTTGAACTATACCTGAGATCAACTATATTTCCTGCCAAATTATTCGTTCATAGAATAGTTGTTGACAATAGTGCACAAAAATATAACTAGACACAAATATAGCGTATCCAGCTAGTTCAATAATTGCCAGTAATTTCAAGGGTATATCAAATCCATTGTCGATCTAAATGAAAACCTAGTAGGCGACCTAGGCCTACTACACCTACCTAACTAGGTTGTCAGCTAGGACGACAATGATCAAATCAATGAATCACTCTCACCTGTCGATGAAGTTGAAGTACTTGAAGCTGTTTCACGCGGTATTCCTGAAGAAAATGAGTTTCCATATCTGGAGGCGATTCTCGATGTAACTGGCTTGTCTTCTTCCGATTTACTGATGCTATTGATTCTTTTCCGCCCAAGATTTGCATCAAACTGGAAATTATTGAAGATGTAATTTCCGAAAAAATATAGGTTAAATTGTACTATTATCAAAATATGATAGTTATGATAGTTCAATGATGGTAATGATATCATGCTGAAATATTCATAGATGGGGGAGAATATGCAAGGGTACAAATATTTTGAATTGATACCTTTTTCATTACACTGCAGACACTTGAAGGAATGCAGTTAGAAATAGATATTTGGAATGAGTTCATGAAGAACTTCATGAACTATGAATCAGTACACTCACTCATACCCATATAAACAGAGAAATTAATTTTCAGAGCACAAAAAGCTGAATAATACCTTAGGAATTCCACCGCTGGTCTCTTTTTTCGTAGTGCCAGCTGAGTAGCTACTGGAACCAGATTTATTCCATGGAACCTGTAAAGATGCCTTATTATTATCATAATCATCAACATTATTATAAGAGATGAAATTAAGAGTATTTGTTGTGGAGATTCAATTGAGAGATTCATATGATAATGATGTATGTGGTAGAAATACAATTCACCCATGTTGTCCAAGATTTGGCCATCAGTGAGGGCAAGATCAGTTCTGAAAAACGAGGTGGATTATTATAGAATTCCTATTCTTAAGTGATTTCAAATTCAAATCAAGTGTGAAAAACTTCACGAATGATAAGATTTCCACAAAACGGTCGAGTCAATGAAAACATCAGACCAATTCCGCTTCGTATGAATGAGAAGCAATGGCATATTTGTATTCGTATTTGAAAATGAAATGGACAAATGTAGTCATATATTGAGTATTGATCGTTTGAACCAGACTCATCATCCTTATATAACCCACTCAAGTCAAGGTTCATATACCTACTCTGAGCATTGCATTAAGGCTGGAACCATTCTTCTGTTGCCACAGCAATACAAATACAATTTGACGTATACATCTCTTCAAATCCTTCTTCACGAACTTTTCCCGATCGAATCATGAACAATACCAAAAGCTACTTATATACATGGGCGCCCGCAGAATTATTTCTCAGGGGAATGAGGCAGAATCAAATTCTGTAGACCGTTCAAGGTCAAATGCCTTTGAATTGGATGCCAGTTTTTCACGAAGGTAAGATCGAGTACATATTTGGACTCATCATAGAAAAATAAGTCGAAAGCAATATACAGGGTGTATCTGAAAGATATCTATCTACCTATTACATTTTCCTCAGACCAAAGCAATTTGATGAATGCAGAACTAACTTCAGTATAATAATGTCCGTGGGTGTTAGACATCTCAAAATCAAAACAATTTCGAATTGTTCTTGCCTAATAACTTTGAAACAGCTCATGAGATTTCACTCACATTCGGTATACGTTAACAAATAGCATGGGGTAATACAACCCATATCTTATATAATTATTCCATATAATAGGCATCTGAGTTAGTTTTTTTCAGCCAATAAACATCTGAAAACTTCTATGTCAATGATTATGTCAATCTTATGGTTTCGACAAAATTTGTTTCTTGGTTATTCAGAGCATAAGTAAATCTTGAACGATCAAGCGATAATTATTCATTTTGAATATTCACAATTTTCACGTATATACGATGCAAAATAGTTATTTTTGAATCTAATGCGCCTCGAAAAAAAAAAATCAGTTCCGATCACCAAAGTATTTGGCGCACGAGTTGCAAACAACATTTTTTAACACACCTCCAAAAATATAGTTCTGAAGTAGTAATATGCTTAGCTTGAATAGTGTTGAACTGGTTTGAAAGGCCTCTACCTATATCCTCCTTAGTTACGCACGATGTTCCACGAACATAATAGGATTTTCCTTTCGTTCGCACTAAGAGATGAAACAAATTAGGTGATTTCTTGGATGTTTGCTCGATTGAGGACCATAAAGTTTACAATGCCCGAAGCATGTAGTTCACGCATTGTTTTACTTCGCGCACTGCTTCGCACATGGTGTCGAAGAAAAAGTGTCACTTTGCCAATTGATATCAATGCGTGAACGTTGTCATCTTTGATGTTTGTAGAAGATAGTTATTTTAGCCGAGTTAAAAAAATAGTCGAGATGACCAAAGTATTTCGCGCTCGAGTTGCAGACAACATTTTTTCTACAAACGTCAAAAAATATAGTTCTAAAGTGAATATATGCTTAGCTTGATGTAAAAAATATTGTTGAACTGGCTTTAAAGGCCTTTCCCTATCCTCTCTGAGTACGAACGATGTTCCACGAACATAATAGGAATTTCCTTTCGTGCGCTCCAAGAGATAAAACAAAGTTAATGTTGAACATTCAGAAATAAATGATTTCGTGGATGTTTGCTCGATTGAGGACGATAAAGTTGAAATATAAATATCTCATATATTTTACATAACAATGCGCGAAGTAGGTACTTCGCGCACTGTTTTACTTCGCGCATTGTTTTGTGCAAGGTATCATGGTAACGTAGGAAACTGAAAAAAAGTGTCACTTCGCAATTTCTAATCAATGCGCTAACCTTGTCATTTTTTAACGTTTGTAGAAAAAAACTTTAATGTGCTATTATCAGCAGTTTTCGTTCATGTCAGAGCAATCTAGCGTCCAAACTCAACAACTTCGTTCTGAAGTTTGCTTGAACCTATTGAATTATTCCAGCCTAAGGTTTTGGTGAATACCTTCAAGAAACACCTTGTGAATAACAAAAGCTGAAGGAGACAATAATTGATATAACTTTTTAATGACCATCAAAATGCTTGGAATGAATGCAGACAATTCGACTCCTATTAATTGAAAGAATAACAAATTATGAATAAGCAGCATTGAAACAAAAACAAAATATTGTTCATATGCTGAACATCATTTCTGATAGCTGGTTGCACTGTTTTCGTAAGCGATGAAAATATATTGAAACTTTCAGGTGCGGAGCATATTCCCACTGACCTCTCTCTGTGAACGCCTATGCTCAAATGAATTCAATGGGGAAGTCTTCTATATTGAGGTTCCCATTTTACTGTGAAGTTTGAAAAAAATTAATATAAGTATACTTTTTTATGAATAATTCCCATAAATCTCTCATTGGCTGAATGAAGTTGATTACTGATAGAGATAAATTACGATATTTTGCGATATTATCTATAATTTTTCACTATCGTTATATCACAATATGTTATTCATAACTTGTCAGTAATTTTTTGCTAATGAAGTCGTTCCTCAATAAAACGGATCTATTTTCAAGGAAAGTTGCAGATTATATCTTGGAACAGCGCCTAATACTTCGAGTACATCCACACCTCTCAAAATACTGACAGGCACAACAAGAGGAAGGAACCATGCATGGGTGTCAGCTTCATTATGTTCTGACCGATGGCAGTAAATTAGGAAGGATAGTATAATTGAATGTAGCCGATAGTGATTCTTTGAATCAATTATATTTCCGTTCAGGATCGATCTCTATTCGAGATATCTCGAGGCATAAATAACAAAACCATAACCTGTCAGAATGAAGCCAACTACCCTCTGCATTCCTGCTCCGAGTGCATTTGTGGTTATCTATGTTTTTGTTTACCAGTTTCACTTATTCTTCTATTTTTGTCATGCGTTTTCCATTCGCTTGCTATATTATTCACCATCAGCTATTTCCACACTAGATTCAGAATGTAAATCACAGTTTACCGCCCCGAAAATCAGAAATTGTTTGATTTGAAAAAAAAAAACGACTCGGACTTTATCGGTCGCCATTCTCCACAGCGTGGACATAAAACTGGAGAATTCCGAACTTATTTTTTGAAAACTCATCTGAAGGAAACTTCCCTGAATTGTCCGATTTTGTCAACCTATCTCAAAATCAGACGCCCGTCTGATGTTGAGAATAGCTTAGCTGAAAAAAATGAAGTATATATAGACAACTACTCGTTCGTCTATGAAGTCAATGTCTGATCGTTGGATAGTTCTTTGCGAAGCCGGCTGTTGTACCTACATTCCCGATGTATTTTACTCTCTTTAGCCGCTAAAAATACCCGCTGTTCTTTTACCCGCGAATTCATTAGGTGCATAACATGAGCCTAAGTTTAATGTACGATGGGCTGGCGACCTTGCATTGGGGAATCTGGCAAAGATTTCGACAAAACAATCACCGAACACGCAAAACTGGCCCAAAATCTGTTACGAAAATATATCAGAACTCCCACACCCAACTATCGTTGTTATTTCAGCTGATTTAGCAGGATATTACCGATCCAGATTTCTTGCTGTAATGAAGTAGTTATATGTCTGTATGTGATATGTCGATGAATTCAAAGGCGGATTTGTGTACATCACCGATTTTTCCCAACTTGTAATTTCACAATCATTAATGATTTCACTAATAAGTTGAAACTCCCGTTCATTCATTTATGCACCTGAATTGAATTTTATCTTTCATTTACTATTCGCTAAAAGATGACCAACTTTTATCTCTTAACGACAAATACAAATAAAACTGTGACTTGAGCATGTGAGAATCTGTCAGAAGTCAGACAAACAATGTCTAATGTCTTCCTCTTCTTTTTCCGAAATGTGGATGAAAATTCTTAGAATTCTAGTCGTATCTTCAAATAAGACTTTGAAAACAATAAAAATTAATGATTCCTATTGTAATTATTTGATCACTGAATGTTATAACACAAATATTTTCATCGGGCTAACTACGCTGAGGACTATGTTTTGATCAAGAAGAAGAGTTTAAAATCAAAAGAAGATGGTGCATAAAGGTATCATAGTCCTAGTATATATAATATATAATAAAAATAAACTTAATGGCAGTTAATGAAAGCAACAGATTAGTGAAAAAGCAGTGTTCATAAATTCACCTTAAATTTCAGGAATCTGGAAGAACATTGTTTACAAGAATCCATAAATATTGGCACTTTTTGTTCAATCCTAGAGTATATTTACATACCTATTCCGATTGAGAATTTGATTTGAAATCCGACTATAGCAGGTTTGATATCAAAATATTCGTTAGGAATCGAATCCCTTCGGTTAAGATGATTTTGCTTCTTTGGCAAGATGATCTTGCTTCTTAGGTAAGATGATCTTGCTTCTTAGGCAATGGGATATTGCTTCTCAAGCTCAGTATTCGCGGGTATTAACATGTCGGAAGTAGTTGATAAAGCTCGAGAAGTTACAGCTCAAATTTTTGAGTAGTGCTCTCTAAATGGCTTGTTGCTGAATACTGCCTAATCTCGAATGCTCAACTTTGCTACCGAAAATACTTCGATGTGTCAAAGCTATTTGGTCGAAATGAACAATAGGCGAGTGTACTATTTTTT